AGATGATAAGCCATATTTGAGGTCGATGAATGTTAGGAGAGCATATGGATGTCCTGCCCAATGTACTATATTACCACATAGACCAGCCGTTAACGATTTGTCCGTCACGGACTGCGTGATTTCGCCACTTCATGTGGAATTTTATTTTTTCTGCGACTAAGCGACTAATACAATTTTGGTAGTATGCATATAAACAGCCTTTTAATTAGCAGAGTAGAATAATCATGGCTGATATTAAGACATGCAAACATAAAAGAAAACCAAACTGGACGCGAGAACAGGGCCCCTCCGGAGGTCTGTGCACGCCACTGCTGAAAACATACAAATAAAGATACTTTTAGATGTTAAATTACTATTTGGAACATTGGGACAGTGTTGCCAGATTGGATGGACGATTTCCAGCCCAAAAGTTCACCAAAACCCGCCCACTCCAACAAAAAAACACCCAAAACTTGAACTGTCAAAACAATGTGGTAATGTATTGCCATGCATATCAAGGTTGATTAATGACAATTTTTTAACTTCTTAAAACAAAATAATGATGAAATAATACAAATTGACAAATTTCCCAGGAAAATGGATCAAATCGGCAAATTAAAGAGAATTACCAAATATGACTAAAATATAGAGGCAGACACTATGTCAAAACGGCAATCAAGAAATTAACCGATACACTCGAAAAAGCACATACATAATTTTCAGTGTCAACAGTCAAAATAAGCCAATTTAAATGCAAAAGGTGCCCAATATAAGTGATCGGAATAAGCAACGTAATTAGCAGGTATTTCACACTCGTTCATGCACAACGTGATGACAGTCACGATATAACAATAAATAAAAAAAACAATAACATAAATGAAATATTACCAAAAGAAAAGTAAATTAATATATTTTGATTACACGGTGATACATGATGGAAAAAATACAGTAATTCAGACAACAAGAAATCATGATTTGCAGCTATTTAAGACACTTTTTTTACAGAAAATATTATTATTGTCATTGTCACAATTCTCTGTAATGAAGGACCCAAATGTAGTTAGATGCTCAAACAAAAACTTTTATTTACAGAAAATATTATTATTGTCATTGTCACAATTCTCTGTACTGAAGGACCCAAATGTAGTTAGATGCTCAAACAAAAACTTTTATTAAAAGAAAAGGGTAACTAGTGAAGAGCTGCCAAGCTCTGGATCAACGCCGAGGAAAATAGAGAGGATGGTCCAATTCCAGACAATAATCAGTAACGGGAGAGCAGTCCAGAAAATCTAAAGGTGCGAGTGAAGCATAAAAGTAACAAAACACACTGGCAAAGAAAAGGGTGAAAACAGAAGGCATAAATAAGAAGAGAATAGATGAGAAAGTAACAAACAGCTGCAAATGCATGCCCAAGTGTGCAAAAAAAGCTTTTGCCAATTAAACTGCAGAATTTATTTGTGCCCCAATGCATGCTGGGAGCCATGGATATGTATTGTATATGCATTACAGCATGAAGCTTTTTATTGATTGCCACTATTGTTGAGATTCATATGCTGATTGTTGATGTGTCTGTGCTTAAATGATGCAGTTGATTAAAATGTTCTATGCACAACATATTTTGAAAATATTAGAATAACATAACTGCTTTCTGTAATGATGCTGGATCGTTTCAAAGGGACGGTGATGCAAATTTGAAATGTATTAATTACACAACACACTTAAAATCAGTGAATCGGGTCACTTCATAATAATTACAGTATGTCACCTTCAAAGTCAAGGGAGAAGTATCCCAACTAAAAACCATAAGGTGAATTCAAAATATTTTTTCAACAAAACATCAATATTATTTATTTTTATTTATTTATTTAGTCATTTAGCAGACGCTTTTATCCAAAGCGACTTACAAATGGGGACAACAGAAGCAATCAATTGTATTATTAAAACAACTAAAAACAGATCCAAAACTAAAAGCTAAAACTTTATAAATAGTACTTATACACATTTTAAAAAGAAAGAAATTAAATAAAAATGACAAATGCACTTATTATTAATAACTTATACTTATTAATATTGACCTATTACTTTTGCTATTGCTTTTGACCATTAGGTATATGCATACAACACATACAGCATATGTCCAATACAGTTTTTCACCATATATAGCAGGGGAATTGACCGTTAACCATTTAACAGGTTTTTACTGTAGCATTTTTACAGTCTTTTACCGTTAAATTCACGGTCATTTTTTACAGTGTATTACATTTTTGCCCCTATGTTTTCCTAATGACAATTTTATGATTGGTTTCTATACTACTACACCCATGTGCGGGGGAGGAATTTATGTTTTATTAAAAGTGTGGGGGACATGTCCCCCACGTCCCCCGCATATTATACACCTATGATTTCACACCAAGGATTTTGCTGCATTTTAAAAATGTACAAAAAAAATCAAGTGCTGTAAGACAAAATAGTTATAAGTAATAAAGATCTGTTGCTTCTATTAAAGTAGTGTTGCTTCTCAAGTGTTAATGAAAAATCAGAAAACAGAAAAGCAAAGAAAAGTATAAAATAGCTTTTCTCTTAAAATAGTCCAATAACATGTGAAGGCAGCATTGTTCTCTTCCTTACTGTAAGCTACTTGGTACATGTTGGTTTGGCTTTGAATACCGATGCAGGACAGTTCTGCTTTTAGCAGTATGAATAAAATCTGTTTGCCTGCACGGTTAACTTTTTCATTATTGTCAATTATTAATATTATTATATGCTATTTCCTCAATATTTATACTGTTTTTTAAATTACTATTATTACAGAAAATTTGAGGCTGCAATTCTTGAAAACTCACAAAATCAACATGAAGAAGAAAGCAAAATATATTTTTGAGTGCAAGAAAGAAAATGAAGTACATCTCGAGGCTGTTTACACAGAACTGTTCATCACAGAGGGAGATATGAAAGATGTCAATCGCGAACATGAGATTCAACAGATTGATGATGTTCTAAAGACCCAGAAATCACAGGACAGACCAATCAACTGCAATGACATCTTTACATTATTAAGGGAAAACAATGAGGAAAAGATTGTGCTGACCAAGGGGATTGCTGGCATTGGAAAAATGGTGTCTGTGCACAAGTTCATCCTGGACTGGGCAGAAGAAGAAGCCAATCGGGAAATAGAATGTGTGTTCCTGCTTTCATTCCGAGATATCAACTTAATGACAAATGGAGATCTCAGTCTCCATGAATTTCTGGTGAAATTTTATCCAGAACTGAAGGACCTGGAGAAATCAAAGCTATATAAGGAATGTAAGCTTGCGTTTATATTTGATGGACTTGATGAGAGTCGCCTGCCTCTAAATTTTAACAGTAGGTCTCTGAACACTGTTGAGGAAAGAGCATCTGTAGATGTGCTGTTTACAAGTCTGGTCAAACGGACATTGCTTCCATCAGCTCTCATCTGGGTGACCTCACGACCAGCAGCGGCCAATCTGATCCTTCCTCAGTATGTGGGTTTGTTCACAGAGGTGCGAGGATTCACTGACGAACAGAAGGAGCAGTACTTCATAAAGAGAATCACAGATGAGAGTCTGGCCTCCAAAATCATCTCACACATTAAGACGTCTCGTAGTCTCTACATAATGTGCCACATTCCTGTGTTCTGCTGGATCACGGCCACAGTACTTCAGGATATTCTCAAAAACATTACAGAGAACATCAGCACAACACTTACTGAAATGTACATTCACTTCCTGCTGATACAGATGAAAATAAAGAGCCAGAAGTACGATGAGCAAGAAGAAAGGCAACGTACAAAGCTATTATATTCAAATAGAGAAATGATTGTAAAATTAGCCAAATTAGCGTTTGAACAGCTGATGAGGGAAAACATTGTATTCTATGAGGAAGATCTGGAAAAATGTGATATTATGGTGAATGTAGCCACTGAGTTTACAGGAATGATTGCGGAGATCTTTAAGGAGGAAGATGGACTTCATGAGACAAATGTGTTCTGCTTTGTGCATCTGAGTGTTCAAGAGTTCCTCGCTGCAGCAGAAACCTTTATGCCATAATTTTCCAAAAATATGCATAAATGTACGTTTGATATGTCTGTAAAGGGTGAAAATAGTCAGATGGTGGCATAGACTGAAGTGTGACAATAGGGGCATCTACGCGTGGATTATTTCCATGGAAATATTGTTTTTTTTCTTAAGCAGACATAGTCAAAAAATAATGCGATTTAAAATATTTCATAAATCTTACTCACACATTCATTCTTGCAGTATTTTATTTTTTTCTTATTGTAGTGGAAAGGAGCTGATTTGGAACGAAACGCAGATGTTATAACTGGGTCAAAAACATGCATGTTTTGGTGTCCAATTGGATTATTTCCTTTTAAAATAATTTGATGCTTTCATGACATGTATCACTTCATCTGACAGAGCTGGACCTGAGTAGCAATCACCTGCAGGATTCAGGAATGAAGCTGCTTGGACTGGAGAGATTACACTGTCGACTAAACATACTGAGGTTTGACATTCACATTCACTGAATCACTAGGTTTAAAAATGTGGATGAATATAGGTTTCATAAATTAAGCGTTAGCGTTAGTTCTGGCAGGTCACGTGAGTCAAGCTTGCATCAGCTAATAGGGGCATCTACGCGTGGATTATTTCCATGGAAATATTGTTTTTTTTCTTAAGCAGACATAGTCAAAAAATAATGCGATTTAAAATATTTCATAAATCTTACTCACACATTCATTCTTGCAGTATTTTATTTTTTTCTTATTGTAGTGGAAAGGAGCTGATTTGGAACGAAACGCAGATGTTATAACTGGGTCAAAAACATGCATGTTTTGGTGTCCAATTGGATTATTTCCTTTTAAAATAATTTGATGCTTTCATGACATGTATCACTTTATTTGATAAAACCTATTTAGTTTAAAAACGGTTTCAGTACAATTGAGTGAAATTATACTTTTATTTTTTTGTATTTTTGTATCTCAACCTTCCAAAACGTCAAAGTGGCGCAACCGTCTGTACATTTGAACAAACTTAGATTGCTAGTTTTAGTTTTTTGTTTTTTTTTATAAATTCTAAATAAAATAAAAATAGCTACTTTCAAGTATGGGTAGGTTGGTACACTTTCCATGTCAGGTGGTACAACCAATGTAAAACTAGGAAAATGCTATTTTATCATAAACTTTATTATATTTAAAAAATATATTTATATATGAACACATAAGTATGAACTAACATAGGCAAAAGCTAATGCAGGCATCCAAGTAGAAGTCTGTTCAATATAAAATTGGTTGCAAAAGTCAGGTGGTGCAATAGCACTGAATGTTTCTTTATGAAATTAAAAACATTGTTAAAGCTAAATAAATAAGACATTTAAACTAAGATTGTCTTTTAAGTTTCTAAAATATATTTTAAGTAATGTTATAAAACTGATAGTTCTGGTCCTAGATTCTGATTGGTTGAGCCGCGTTCGAAGCTGTTGTAAATTACTCTACAAACATACACCTTTGTTTACGTCTGTGTGTTGCTCGGCAACCACTTTGTTGCAACCCAACCGTTTCTGAGGAACTACATTGTTTCTCCGCTTCGCGTCGTGCCTAACAATGGCCCTTAGCTGTTATAAATTCACCGTAAACCACGGCTTCTTGGGGCTTATTGCTTTATTTTATAACGTTTATAATGTATTTGCAAAAGAAGCATATCTTGCAAAATAATAAAAAAAGACTTGATAAGCATCAATAGCATTTTATTTTGTTGTCATTACTTTTATACAGTAGTCAGATTTTTCAGTTTAAATGGTAATATGATGGTTTATTCTCATGTTTTATAGTTGTCAGAAGAGGGAAAGGGAGGAAAATATATTTTGTCAACCATTAAATTGTTGTTAAATAACCATACATTTGTGTTTAGTAGTTCTAATACAGTGTTCCATTCCAGTTGCTATGCATTTAATATTTTAAAAAATTTGAAACATTTTGATGAATGCATTGTTGATATTTTAAATGAGCTGATTTTTTTGTAGAAATATAAATCATAAATGTCTTGTTATTCAATCAATTCATTCTATTTTTGATAACTATTTCAACAGAGACTTTTAACAAAAAAACTTGTTTTTGTATTTTTTTTTTATATGTACTGTAATTGAAATGTAAAAAAAGCAGTATTCAGTATATTTCTGTCGTTAATAATGTTATCAGGTCAGGTGGCACAACTGATATTCGTCTGGTGGTGCAACCATGTAAATTCCTCATTTAAACAATCAAATAATAGGTCAAAGTGAACACATGGCTTAAAAAAAGATTGTGAATAGTTCCTGTTAAATGCATTCATTTCTATACTTGTGTGATTATTTTTCTGTCTTTAAAAATAAAGTCAAATGCTGAAATTACTAAATACCCAGCCATTAGAATGCAATAATTCTAAATTACTATGAATAAAATACACAAGCACAAAATAATGTGTTAGTCATTGTAAACACTCTAATCTAAATATTACTTTGCTAAGATTTCACTTTGAAATAAAATTAGGAATATATATATATATATATATATATATATATAAAAGATAAAATAATATAATTTATATTTTTGGGTGGTAAAATTAAAAACAAAGTCAAAAATGAATTTAGTCACTTTGAAATGTTGTTTAACAAATGAAACTTGTTTAAAGACATTGTTCCCAACTTGAAAATACACATTACATTTATTTTGAAAAGATGTGTTTTAGTTGAATATACAAAAAAAAAAAAAAAACTTTTTAAAAGCTTTTTTTGGCATTTACCCATATAAGAATGGTGCTAGTTTATTATTTATGTGTCTGAATATGCCCACATCCCTATATAGTAGGCTTTAAAAATCAGTAGGCTACATTAGCAGAGTTGTACGTCTGAATTCACAGTTTCACAGTATTCACAAGTATTCACAGTGTTCTACAGAAGTCGAAAAGTACCTGAATGACATATTACTACATGTAAATTAGTAGTAAATGTTGGTTTAAAGCACTTAATTTTTGACATTTTCAGATTTTCCATGACCTAATCTAAAGTGAGAACAATTTATGGCTAATAAGTGGTTAAGAACGCATTATCTAACTCTTTACATATAAGCTAATTAAACAATAACACTTTGTTAATTACAGTGAAAATCAATGATGAACTCACTATTTGTACATAGTCTATTAATGTATTAACTATAGTTTATAAACTACTAATGAACTACATTAGTTGAGAAATGATTTATAAGTGCTTTACTATTGTATACTTATTAGAAAGTGTTACTGATAAAGTCTAATTATCAGCACAGACTTGCGCTCCAGATTCTAAACTATAAAATCTATATGACAAATTCACATTAAAGGGGTCGCTGCCTTTTTTTTATTATTTTGTACTGTTCTATGAGGGTTCACTTATAATGTTATTAAATTTTGTATTTTTTTTTCAAAAACATCATGATTTAGAAGTAATTTCTGTTATTTTCTGTCCTTGTTTTGGCCCCCCTCATCAGAGCGCTGTTTGAATTGGCGTGGTGTAGTGATGTGTCGTTCGCGAACGAGCCGGCTCTAAGAGACGATTCTTTGTAGCTAACGAGAAGAGCCGAATCTTCAGCCGGAGCCCTCTATTTTAGCTCAATTTAGCAATTGTGAATGGTTTGTGTGTTGGTAAGCAATTTTTTATTTAGTGTTTTCATAAAATCCTTATTTTTATGCATTTTTCATTACAAAAAATAAATAAATACACATGCAGCTAATCACATGGGAGTATAGACTAGGATCATACCATTATGTGAAAGAAGGAAGGGGGACACATGCTCCGAAGATAGCGAGTGTAGTGGTAAAGGCCAGGTAGAGAGAGAGAGGTGGGGGATCCGGATTTAAACGCAAGTACGTTGGTTAAGGTAGGAAGACACTGCATTGTTGCAACATCGGCCCCCTCAGAGAGAATCTTCTCAAAAACAGGACAAATAATCACAAAGGAGAAATCGCATCCGCACATCCAAGCTGAGGCATCTGATATTTCTGAATGCCAACCTGCACTAAAGACTAAAGTGTTATTATTAAAGTTTTATTAAAATGTTAAATTGGGCTAAAATAGAAGGCTTCGAGTGATACTAAATGAAGAGCCATTTGGGAGCCGGCTCTTCTAAAGGAGCCGAGCCGAATCTTTGAAAAGAGCCGAACTTCCCATCACTAGCGTGGTGGATTGTAGACTCGGAAGTAAACGCCCACCTGCTATGATTGGCTAACAGTTGTGTATGTTTGACAGCCTACATCCTTCACAGATGGACGCAAAAAATACTCAGTACATATCAAACGATCTGTAATAACAGACAAAGCAATAGTGATCACGTAATGAAAACAGTTACTCACGCTTGTGTGGTGCGACATCGGATCCAACATAGTTGGCACAGCATCGTCTTTTAGTTTCAATCTTTCTGAAAATCCTGTGTCTTATTGTGCCTTGTTGTAAATGAATCCACGGTTAAATGAAGTGAACAAAGGACCAAGTTCTCACTGATGTGGTCTGGCACTTCATTAAAAATAAAGTTAATCCACTCTTTCCTAACGTTGCTATCAGAAGGAAGGCAATGCAAAGACTATTTTTCCACAACCTGGCATTGCACATTGTCGTCTTGTATTCAGAGCCATCTTTATTGTTTGGTTTCTGTGTTGACCTGCATTCACTTCTTGTTATTTACACTATATGCACGAATCAGTGGGCGGGGCTAAACAGGCAGTGATGTATATAGTAGGTGGGCAGGGCTAAACCAGCAGTGATATAATTGGTGGGCGGGGCTAAACAGGCAGCGATGTAGAAGCAGGCGTTAATCTTCTGTGGAAGTGGTGTTTATCCACACTATTACATCATTGCAACCTTTCATTTTGGCAGACTGGCTTATAAGTAGATAAGCTGTTTTTAGACTAACGAGAAGGTTTTGAGTTCTGAAACTTACAGGATGTTTTCATACTACAAAGACCTCTAATATGTCAAAATATTAAGAGAATTTTGGTTTCTCAGTTCATTACCCCTTTATTGTGACTGTTTTATTCTCTTCACGGGATATGTGGATGTAATCTCACTGCTCAGTCCTGTAAAAGTTTGTCTTCAGCTCTACAATCTTCAAACTCCCATCTGAATGTGCTGGACCTGAGTAACAATGACCTGCAGGATTCAGGAGTGGAGCTGCTTTCTGAAGGACTGAAGAGTCCAAACTGTCAGCTGAAGATACTGAGGTTTGAGTTTCAAATACTTCATTTTATTTATTTATTTTGGAAGTTAATTACAAAAAAATCACACTGCTAAGATTTCTTTATGTACTGTGTTTTTCTTGTTCAGATTTTCCATGTGTAATCTCACTGCTCATTCTTGTGGGAGTTTGTCATCAGTTTTACAATCCTCAAACTCTGTCCTGAGAGAGCTGGACCTGAGTAACAATGACCTGCGGGATTCAGGAGTGAAGCTTCTTTCTGAAGGACTGAAGAGTCCAAACTTTCAGCTGGAGATACTGAGGTAAATGGTTTTCATAAAATAATTGGCAAAATGCTACCATAATAAATGGCCATTGAATTTTGTCAACAAATGCGGTATCTACTCTCAAATAATCTGCAAAGCTGTTGCATTTTCAAAGATAGCTGCTGACAGCACTGCATGAGCTAACAGCACTGTCTAGCACTGGGATACTCAAATCTGGCTCGCGAGATCAACTTTCCTGCAGAGTTTAGCTCTAACCCTAAAACCACCTAGCTCGACGGTGGTGACAGCAGCGGCAATCCACCTGGCACTCAAGTGGCTACGCCCTTAATTATGCAGAACTTTAAGGCTTAATATAATTTAAACGGATGACTTATAAAAATATTCACCCCCCTCACGGTTGTCATGAAGGGCAAAATTAGCTATACAGACCAAAACCACTTTTTGTACCAGGCTATAAAAAAATTTTTCTGCTGTAAAGTTGGCCATTTTAACATGGGGAGTCTATGGGACTGACTCCCTTTTGGAGCCAGCCTCTAGCGGCCAGTCGATGAATTGCAGTTTTAGTCACTTCCGTATTGGTTTCACGAGAGAGGTTGCCGCTTGATCACGACGCACATAGAATTTTAGCTAAGGTCCAAAATTACCATGGCTTTGGTGAGTAAATGAAAAGGGGATAATAACCTTTTATAAATTCTAGCAATGCATGATTGTGAGAATGTGATATGGCTTAGTATGATTATCAGATGCGAAGGTTGTGATGAAATTATAGAAATGTACGATTATACACATACAATATACGAGTGAAGTGTGACACTATATTTATTAACACACAAGAAATTTGTGCCCAAGTATGACTCGGTTTGCAGTAAATGCTTCTCACATTAACTAATTTCTGCAGGAAGAATGTCAAATAATGGAAAGACAGTTTGTCCATAACTGATTATTGGTGAGGATGTAAACACTGTTTTCAGTTCACACACATTTAGATTAAATATGCTGCTCTCATGAATAGAGTTAAGCACACAAATGACATCAAATTATTATCCTGAATAACAATTTACATTGTGACATTTTAATGGTCATTGCAGCCAGAAGGGATGCTTGAACCAGCCTGACCAGTCAAATGACCCCCCACGCTTAATCCTGCCTCACCGTAATGGTGGTCACGGGACACAATGGGGAGCAGGCCAGAGCCCTGCACACGGGTGACAGGTGAACCGCTAAAATTGGCGTAACGGGTGGAATAATATTTATGTGTCGGTTGCAGGTAGGATGGGTGATAGGCGTGGGTATTTGCTATTTGGACTCAATCTGGTACAATATTTCACATTTCAGCATTAGAATAATCTCCCTAGAATAATCTCTCTGTAGGTCATGATTTAGTTTACATGTTTAGGGAAATACTACTACAAAGTGTCCTGGGAAGGTTCCTTTTAAGTTATAAAAATAAAACCTAAAATTGGGGTTCTGGTTACGCCACCAAGAGGATGACAGCCTAATTTTCGAGCTCCCCGACGGTTTTGTAAAATAACCCCCAAAAATTAGTTTTTGTGAAACCTTGTGAATATTTTACGTAACAATGGAGAAAGGGGTTACTACTAGAAGTAGGACAATGGCAAATGTAGTAGAAAATGACCCTGAAGCAAGGTAAGGTAGCAGAAGAAGCTCTCCGACATCATTTCCCCATGGCGAAGATAGTTCTGAAGTCAGCCTGCGATGTATTCTCAACAAACTCTGAGAGTTCAGAAGGGACAATAAGGTACAGCTTTCCGACATTAAACAAGAATTGAAGAGAACAAATGACAGGCTGGAGGAGGCAGAGGAAAGAATTGAGGAAACTGAGACCGCGCTTCAAGTAACATCAACGCTAATCAAGCGGCTAACACAGCGCCAAGCTAATCTGGAAGCCAGACTGATAGATCAGGAGGGCCGTGCTCATAGAGACAATTTAAGGATTTCCGGAATACCCGAAGATAAAGAAGGTACAGACATGGTTGACTTTCTAGATAACTTGTTGAAAAGCGCACTAGACTTTCCCCGGGACAGAGAGCTTGGGATTGAACGAGCACACCGTGCATTAGTACCGAAACCCAACAATCCGCACGCAAAGCCACGATCTATAGTAGTAAAATTCTGCAGTTACCGGACAAAGGAGGAGGTGCTTCAGAGAGCTTGGCAGAAAAAAGAAGTGTTCTGAAACGATGCTTGCTTCTACTTTGACCATGATTTCCCTCCTGAAGTGCTTCAGAGACGAAGGGAATACGCCGAAGCCAAGAAAGTGTTAAAAGAAAAACAAATAAAGTTCCAGACACCGTACCCGGCAAGGATGCGCATATTTTATGATGACGGCACTCGGCTGTACCAGGATGCTGTGGAGGCAACGAGGGACATGGTTTCATGAGGATTCTCCGTCTCCATGGTGAAGTCATCCACTACTACTGATCAGAAGGAAATCGCACTACTATCTACTTGGCAAGTGGTGGGGAGACGATGAGACCGGGGCGGAGATTAGGAATCCGGAGCAGCGGACGGCTGCACACAACCCAAGAAAACTCCCTGCTCTCAATATAAAGAAAAACTCCTGAAATTCAGGAAATGATCGCCCACGAAAGGTTTACGCTTGACTCAGAAATAAGTTCTAAATGACTTTCACAGTTCACTACGTGGGACTTTCCCTTATGGAAACTTTGACTGCATGAAGCCCCTCAAGGCTCTTTTGAAATGACCCTCAACACCGGAAACAACTGTTTTTCTATTTGTTTCTACGGTGGCGTTTTGTTGTTTAAAATTGTTCCAGTTTGGTTCTTGTTTAATGTTTGTAATTTGGGAGAGGTACTGTTAAAGGAGTCATCGGATGCAAAATTCACTTTTGTTGTTGTTTGAACATAAATGTGTGTTGGAAGTGTGTGTACACATCCACCCTATAATGATAAAGATTTTTTTTTTTAAATCCCTATTTTAAAATCCCCTTTCTCAAATCAGGCTGTTCTGATATTCCTGTCAGAATGACGTAGATCTGCACAGGCCGCTCCCACGATAGTTGATTGACAAGGCCATCTTACCTTAGACCCGCCCTGAGTGAGCTGTGAGCTGTCCGCCATTATGTCGACTCCGGTGCAGGGGAAGACAAGAATGTCTCCTAAGTGATTGAGATGTTTTGTTGTTGGATGTAATAATGAACATAGCAGTCGTCATTTACTCCCGACATCTGAGCTGCTGAAGACGCAGAGGATTAACGTTACTTTCGTTTTTGAAGGGGATACGCCGATCCCCGATCTGCCTAAATGCGTTTAAGTTTGCGCGAATAATTCCTGATCCAGCTTCAACTACAAAAAAGTGAGTATAAGGGTTTTTTATGAATCTTTGCAAATCCTCTTCCTAATAATGTGCTAGTTAGCCAGTTTCGCGGCTGAAGTTTACAGTCTGCTCGTCACCCCAAGGAAGAGAGGGAATGAGCAGAGCTCATTAGCATTTAAATCAACATGGAGTAGAACAGCGTGCTGAAAACAGCTGATTTTAACAGGGTAAAAAGGGTGTTTTTTACACCACCATTGAGAAATTTTAACCAAAGTATGTTATAGACTTTTCATTAGGACCCTAAAGAATCATATCAACTTTTGGGAAATGGGCATCCGATGACCCCTTCAATGTATAAATTGAATACCAATAGAGACACGGCGGGAGAAGTTAAGCTTGTTAGCCAACAAAGACGACTATGAATAAGCACATACTTAAAGTTACTACATTTAATGTGAACGGGAATTTGAACCCAGCTAAGAGAAGTCAAATACTGTTAAAAATTAAAAGGGAAAATGCAGAGATTGTGCTCCTACAAGAGACACATCTCACTCCAGCAGAACATGAAAAACTAAAGAGAATGGGATTCTCTAAGGTGTATTACTCATCTTATAAGTCAGGTCGTAGAAGAGGTGTAGCAATTTTAATATCACAAAAAATATAATTTGAACACCTCTCAGAGATCTCGGATAAGGAAGGGAGATATAATAGTTTCAGGAAAAATAGATGACACTATCATAACAGTATGTACTATTTATGCCCCTCCCGGAAGTGATTTTGCTTTTTATAGGAAAATATTTGATTTGATGATAGGAGCCAAAGGAATTTTCATATGTGGTGGAGACTGGAACATTCATCTTAACCCAAAATTAGATTAATCAAAAACCTCAAATGTCACATCATTACATAGAAAAATTTATGTTTTAATGACAAAGCTGGGTATACTAGATCTTTGGAGAGATTTTTATCAATCAGGCCGTGACTATACTTTTTACTCATGCCCTCACGACGTGCACTCAAGGATAGACTATTTTTTTGTTTTAAAGAGAGATCGCCATAGAATACAAAGCTGTGATATTGGATCTATTGATTTGTCTGATCATGCACCTCTCTCTTGCACTATACATATTAGAGATAACCCGGGAAGAACATTTTGGAGGTTAAATACAAGCATTCTAAATAACCAACAATTTCAAACTCAAATTAAGGAGGATATAAGAATATTTCTTGAAGAAAATGATGACGGGAGGTGTATTCTCTAAGGTGTATTACTCATCTTATAAGTCAGGCCGTAGAAGAGGTGTAGCAATTTTAATATCACAAAAAATATAATTTGAACACCTCTCAGAGATCTCGGATAAGGAAGGGAGATATATAATAGTTTCAGGAAAAATAGATGACACTATCATAACAGTATGTAATATTTATGCCCCTCCTGAACCCCATTAGATTAGATTCTTTGATTAGATCCCGTCTTTGATTAGAGTTGGAGCTAAACTTTGCAGGACAGTCGATCGCCAGGAGCAGGGTTGGGCACCCCTGCTCTACAGAATACTTTAAAGAAAAATGGGAAAAAGAAGGAAATTTTTTATATATTGAATGAGGAGTGGCTTGATGTATGTAAATTCCCGTGGAAATGTACTAACTCTCACATATGGCAGGAGTTTGGGTGGAAATGCCTTATCAGATTTTTATTACACCGAAACAGAAAGCACATATTGAGGGAGGGGACACCAAATGTTGGAGACAGTGTGGGTCTCGGGAAGCCTATCACTGGCATATATTTTGAGAGTGCCCAGTGATAAAACCTTTCTGGGCGGAGCTTCATAAAGCAGTGGAAAGCATTTTTAACACTACACTGCCTTTGGACTTTTACACATTATATTTAGGAAATGCTGATTTCCAGACAAGATGGCCTGAAAGATACCTATTTGGCATTTTAACATCTGCTGGTAAAAAAGCACTTACAAGGTGTTGGTTGCTTCCTGAACCCCCCACAATACAAGAATGGATGGATATAGTAAATGATATTTATGTTATGGAAAAGATTACTTTTTTCCCTTCGTCTTCAGAAGAATGTGTTCAGAAAAGTCTGGTCCAAGTGGGTCATGGCCAGACTTTGTGGAGGTCTAAAATAAATGACCCTTCCCTTCTGAATGAAAAATGTTATTGTAATCTCCCTTACATACCTTTTCCACATTGGAAACCAGCTGACTTTTTTCCACAGTCTCCATCATAGACCAAGAACAAACTTTTAAAATTAAGTATGGAGTTTGATTATTAAGTAAATACCTGACCTCCCCCGAATTGTAAAAATGATTATTGTTATTAATATTATTATTATTTTATGTAATTGTATTTTGTTTGTTATTTTGTTTTGTATTATCTAAAAAAATAGAAAAAATTGAATGGTAGAGAAGAATGTAACTACATCTGTTTTGAAATAATGTACTGTTGCTTATGCTGCTACATCAAAATAAAAAAATTTAATAAATAAAAATAAAACCTAAAATTATCCTTCAGGGAATGTTCTGGAAGGGTTCTCTTTAGATTATAAAATTAAACCTAAAAACAACATGCTGGGAACGTTCTGGGAAAGTTCTCCTTGGGTTATGAAAAAAAAAAACTACAGGGTACGTTCTTAGAACTTCTTATTTGGTTCCCCCAAAAAATAACCAAATGGGAACGTTCTGTGTTCGCTGAGTATCTATACACACTGTAAATGCAAACAACAAAGCCTCACACAATGATATTTTTAATACTTTGATTCCAGAAGGCATAAAAAGATCCAGACAAACCATATTCTTTGCATGGCAGGAAGGGCAAAAACGTAACATGGTAGCATCACTCACGCCATCTCCATAAGCTTACCATGTCTGTTACTGAAATCATCACAATTCCAATATTATTTTTTTATTCTGATTACAAAATACTCAATTTGTAAGGTATTTTTTCCATTATCTTCCTCGCTACTTTTGTACCGGACAAATGCCTCTTTTCATTAATCCATTTCTTTGTTTTGTTAAAGGCAGTGTTGGGGGTAATGCATTACAAGTAACGCGAGTTACGTAATCAGATTACTTTTTTTAAGTAACTAGTAAAGTAACGCATTACTTTTTCATTTAGAAGGAAATATCTGAGTTACTTTTTCAAATAAGATCGTCCAGTTACTTTGTTTCCATGTATTAACTGACAGCTCTGGTGTTGCCATGTTGAGAGAAATCAGGAGTAAGTGCAGAGGCGTTGTGTGTGAACATGATCTTACTATAGTTCTAGACTAAATATGAACATGTGTTTACTCAAAAACAGATTCAGTATTCCTCAAATATTGTAATGCATTACTTTTAAAAGAAACTTTCCCCAACACTGAGTGTAGGTGATTTGGTTCAAAAATATTTTTCATGTTATGTTATGTTAGTTGAAAGTCTCTTCACATCCCGATAGCAATTACTACGTTAAGTGGTCTAAATTTATTTACATGTATTTATATTGTCTGTGGAAGTCATAGGACCATAAAATGTTCATCCAATCAAAATGTTCGGTTTGAACATTATGATAGGCTGGCCTGTCTGCCTGTCAAAATATGTATTTGCATAACTCTGCGCACCCTGTTCGCCCAGACATGATATGTCATCAGCACATTCCAGCGAGAATGAAAGGCACTTTTATTGTAATATTATGCGCTTTGTACTGTAATGTTCTGTCACCTGTGAATGTAATCTGGCAGTGTTGCATTCAATACTCCACCAACGGCATCTCTTATCGTGTTACTGGTTAATCTCTTCTCTGACGGAGCGCGTTCATGTGTTTTGGAAGAGGCGTGGCTTTGCAGAGTGATTACGCAGGGAGGGTGGGGATCTTGTTTTCAACTAACTTGCTATCGCTAGCCTTTCAGAAATCGCCTACCCTACTTTTAATGTCATGCATATTGTATTTTAAAGTGACAGGAGACTGTAAAACTGTAAAACAAGGAATAACTAGTTGGCAACAATAAGTAGTCGTAAATAATCTCTAAATTTTTATTTTTTTATTTTATTTTTATAATGCAGATTATTCACTCGGTGCCTGTCCGGTACTGCCCACATAGTTGCATTCATGTGGACTCGAATGCTGTGACAGCGTAGCATGAACACACACAAAATTAGTATTAAAAGTTTGAAATTAAATCCATATCCTACCTTTTCTTGTAACCCGATAAAATCCATGGCAATAAACGTCATCGAATATGTTTAATCCACAAGCATTCTGTGCATTATTCCTTCTTGCTGGCGTTCACATCAATCCACAAGTTGTCATTTTAGGTTTGGCTATTTTCATTCATTTCAATGTAAAAGAAATTAGTGGCTCAAAACACAACTGCTGCATGAGCATATGATACACAAACTACAGCTTTCGGTTGGATAAAGCAAACCAGTAACACGCTAGTCAAGTTTTGATGGATGACGATTGTAATCAAAGAAAAGACAATGACATACAGGAGTCGTACATTAGGTGGCATTTGTCCCTTCTTGTTGATGTGCAAATGCAGAGGTGGACTAACCCATTAGGCAAAGGTGAGCTACCGCTTTGGGCCCCCAAATGCCAAGGGCCCCCTACAATGCTTTTCATATATGGGATGTGCATTAAGCAGAGACGTGTGAATGGTTGTTGTGGTGTACATTACAATGACAGCCATCTGCATGTCCACAATAGAGAAAGGAAACTCAAGATGATCCAGGTAAATGTGTGCAAATGTACAGGGCCACATTCGTATATTTTGCCTGGGACCCCCAAACAACATATTTCATATACAGTATCATATAACATCATATTTCTGCTTGAACACAGTTCAGAATATTCACATATTTATCTAAATTAATGTACAGTGAATGTTTTATAACAGATGATCGGTTTACAATGGTTTATGTACATCTGGGCATCAGATGCACCAAACACATGTGTTTTAGGATTCGGAATGGAACAATATAGTAGCTATTATACAGTTCTTTGGCATCTCCCTATGGTCTTGTTTGGTATGGCAGGTTGACTTGTGCTTATGTTTTGTTAAAGTTACTGTATAATTAAGCTTTACATACATTTGAGTACTTTTAAGCTGTAAATAATGTCTGCAGTAACATTTTTTGCAAAATATGTTTCAATCTTTTTAGGTTTAAATCTATCTTGAATTTATTTAGTTTAAAAATGATTACATGCAATTGAAAAGTAATGACACTAAAATACAAATTTGTTTTTGTAAATAGAAATGATTGGGGGCCTTGCAGTATTGATTTGGAGAGGAGGGGGGCCTTGGAGTAAAAAAGGTTGAGAACCACTGCAATAAACTAACAAAAATATAAATTAATCATTAATATATATAAAAAAACGAATAAAAAATTTGAAACTGGAAAAATAAACCATTTAGTTTCATTTTGGCGTAAATCTCTCATTTGAGCAGGGATAGCAGTAGATTCTCATTGAATAGTGAGGTTTTGATTGACAGCTTCTGGACCTGGTGGTGAAGATTTCAAGTGAAACTGTGAGAATCTGCAAGTGGCTTCTTATTTCATTTTAGAAGATGAAGTTAGAGGTTTTGTTTTTAAATCTAAACTTTATATTCTTTCTTTCACTACTTTGTCAACATAAGATTGACAGCTTCTGGACCTGGTGGTGAAGATTTCAAGTGAAACTGTGAGAATCTGCAAGTGGCTTCTTATTTCATTTTAGAAGATGAAGTTAGAGGTTTTGTTTTTAAATCTAAACTTTATATTCTTTCTTTCACTACTTTGTCAACATAAGATTGACAGCTTCTGGACCTGGTGGTGAAGATTTCAAGTGAAACTGTGAGAATCTGCAAGTGGCTTCTTATTTCATTTTAGAAGATGAAGTTAGAGGTTTTGTTTTTAAATCTAAACTTTATATTCTTTCTTTCACTACTTTGTCAACATAAGATTTCAGAAGCAGTATTGTGGCACTATTGTCTGTGTGGGCGATCTAACGCCTTATTTACTTTTGCATTTAAATGCGAGATGTAAAATGTCCAATGACTTGGGGGAATATTTCTTTCTTCCTGATAATGCTAAATGAGTGCAAAATGATAATTTTGTGAACAGTTGTTTTTATTGAATCAGTTCATTACAAAAAGGATACAACATATAATATGATGTACGCAACAAACAAACTAATGTGATGTGGACTGTTGCTGTATGTTTTTGTAGGTTGTCTGGATGTATGGTGACAGAAGAAGGCTGCCGTTATGTGTCTTCAGCTCTGACTTCAAACCCCTCACACCTGAGAGAGCTGGATCTGAGCTACAATCACCCAGGAGATTCAGGAGTCAAGCTGCTCTCTGAAAAACTGCAGGATCCAAACTGCAAACTGGATAAACTCAAGTATGCCAAGCAAGAAGAGTTGTTAGATTTTATCTTATCTTTTATTGTCATTGTCATAATAACAATGAAATATTGTTAGAGCATCCCCACTGCATAGCAATGGTAACAAAGTGCAAAGTGATGCAAAAGCCCAAACCTAGATCCCATAAATAATAGACATACTACACAGTGTTGTGAAATTGCTGCTGCAATGCAAAGTCCAGTCACAGTTATTTTAGTGGTGGAATATGATGTGTGCCTGTAGATATAGGCAGAATGGGGGGAGATTGTGTTTTCAGCAGCCTCACTACCTCTGGAATAGAGGATGTGGGCCAGTCTGGTTGTTCTGGTGCGTAAGGACCTGTACCTTCTACCTGAGGGCAGCAGGTGGAACAGGTGATGTGTAGGATGGTGCTGGTCGCACAGGATGTTTTGCACACGTCTTAGGCAGCGAGTGGTGTAGATGGTACTCATCTCCGGAAGAGTAATTCCGATGATCTTCCCCACTGTCCTGACCGCTCGCTGGAGAGCCTGCTGATCAGCCTTAGTGCTGCTGGAAAACCACACTAGGAATCCATATGATAAAACACTGCTAATGGCACAGTTGTAAAAGTTCACCATTAGCTGCTTGGGCATTTTGGAACTCTTCAGTTTCCTCAGATAGTAGAGGCGTTTCCTACAACTGAGGCAGTATTAGTGCCCCAGGACAGGTCCTCCGATACAGTCACCTCCAGGAATTAAAAATTTGTCTCTCTCTCCCCCACCTCATTGCCGATAGAGAGTGGAGAGTGGTTGTATTGTCCAGTTTTGCGGAAATCCACAATAATTTCCTTGGTCTTCTTGATGTTAAGAACCAAGTTATTGTTGTCACACCATGATGCCAGATGTTGTACCTCATTCCTATATGCTGTCTCATTGTTGTTGTTAATGAGCCTGAGCATCGTGGTGTCGTCAGCAAATTTGACAATATGATTTAATGGAAAGGAGGCAGAGCAGTCGTGTGTGAAAAGGGTGTAGAGCAGTGGGCTAAGCACGCATCCTTGGGGGGCCCCGGTGTTAGTAAGAAGGGTGGAGGACGTGTGCCCGCCAATTCTCACACACTGTGTGCGATTAGTTAAAAAGTACACAATCCAATTGCATAGCGTGGTGTTTAGTCCCAGGTTGTGTAATTTAGATCGGAGTTTATACGGCCGGATTGTATTAAAAGCCGAACTAAAATCGACAAAGAGCAGCCTCGCATAGGTGTTCTTGAGCTCTAGATGTTCCAGTAGTATATGGAGCATAATCACAATGGCATCCTCAGTCGTCCTGTTCTCCCTGTTTGCAAATTGGTATAGATCAAGTGTTGGTGGTATTGCTTTTTTAATGTGTTTGATGATAAACCTGTCCAGACATTTGGCTGGGACGGGGGTGAGTGCCACAGGTCTGTAGTTGTTTAGACAAGTGACATTAGACTGTTTGGGGATAGGTACTATTGTGGCTGCCTTGAGGCAGGCAGGGACCCATGACATGGACAGCGACATGTTATAGAGGGAAGTGAAGACAGCACCTGGCCCAGAACTCCATCTGGACTGGCTGCTTTCCTGGGGTTGATGCTGCGGAAAACAAGTCTCACGTTCATGTGTGCTCAAGACTGGAGCAGAGTGAATAGAGGGGAGGGGAGGCAGTTCAGGGTCTGTGTTTTCCCTGTCAAAGCTAGCAAAAAAGATATTTAATTCCTCGGCTAAGGTGGCACTGCTGATCGCTGAGGGAGATGTAGATGTTCTCTTATAGTCCGTAATGGCCTTGATGCCCTCCCAAACTTGCCTGGGTTTTGTGAAGTTATTCAAATTGGCTTCAATATGCCTTTTGTGATCTAATTTGGCAGTATTGATGCCTTTCCTCAGAGCAGTCCTGGCTATGCTGTAGGCATTAAGAGTTCCCAGATCTATATGCTATATTCCTAGCTCTAATTAGTTGTTGTACATTGTGTGTCATCCAAGGCTTCCTATTTGATGCCACATGGACTTGTTTCCAAGATGTTACACTGTCCACACAGAAATTGATGTAGCATAAAATATTTGTGGTGTATTCATCCAGAGATTCACGTGTGTGCGTGCCCTGTCCCATAAATACATGCCATATTGTGCGGTGGAAGCAGTCCTGGAGCACAGGAATAGTGTCCTCTGGCCATATTATCACCGTTTTTAACATAGTCCCAGCCCTTTTGATTCTGGGTCTATTAAAACTGTGTGAAATAATACATAGTACCACCAATAAAGTGCAAAAACTATGCCAGTTAAAAGAGCTCCAAGCCGCTGCGTCTGTGCGTGCCGCCATGTTATTGAGTGTCAATAACAATTAAATTGTTAATAACAATTAACAATTAAATGTTTTTATTTAAACTCTCCTGTGTATATCTATACAAGTGTAGGGGTTTCTAGAGGATGCAACAAAATAAAGTATTTAAAGAGCACCATTCTGAGGAGTAAAATATTAACTTAATATTAAATATTAACTAGTGAATGGAAGTTCTGATCATTTTGATTAGTTCACCACTCGAGTCTTACACCGTGTCCTAACTACACGCGACACGACAAGATTCCAGCGACAAGGAATTTGGGTGTGCACACCAGACGCGGCGCAACACCGCAACGAGACAGAATCAATCAAATATCACAGCCAATCAGAAGCGTGTGTGGGCGGGCTCTCTCTGGAAAGGCACTGCACTCGCAACGAAAAGGATACATTTATAATCTTATTCATAAATATTAAACCTTTTTAACATCATTAAATGTACATACTGAGTGACTGATACCATCTTTGTCATGGAATACACTTGTTGGTTCGCAGTGAGTTCACAGTTTTAATAAACATCTTTGCTTTAATTGATTTTCAAGATCTGAGGTAAACTATCTGTTGTTGCTTTCAATATGGCTATAAGCTCACGCAAAATTATATTTAAACTCATATTAGACACGCTTAACTTTGAATAAAGCACATAATCACCGTGAGATTATATACTGTCATATAGATTGTATGTTGTTAGTCTCCACCGTGGCCCGTCATCCCACCGGCTCCACTGAGCTCCCTTGTCCTTCTAGTCAGTCATTGACCATCCGTCACCTCGGGACTCCACTCCTCTGGCTTCCGCTCGTCACTCCGTTCCTCTGGCTCTGTCAGGCTCCTCCTTCCCTCCGGCTCTGCCTTCATCCTCAGTTGCACTGGTTCCTCCGGTTCCCCGTGTGCACCTCGCTCGCATAAGCTCTCAGCTCCACCTGGTCTCCACCTCTAGCGGCTCCATCTCCATCGTCCCTAGGGTGTTGTTTGACAAGTTTCCACCATGGCTCCTCCCTGCCTCGACTTTGCCCTGGGGCCTCGTCCTGGCTAGTCTCTGGACCAACACCTGGCTCCTCCTGCTCCTGGCCTCTCCCGGCTCCTCCCACCCTTCACTCCCCCATGGACTTATTATTTGGACTTGTTTTGTTTCTGCCCTTCTCCAGAACCCCCCCTCCCTCCTCAGTTGAACTCCATGCAGTGCGAGGAAGCGCCTTCCCAGGAGGGGGTGGCGAACTGTTACGTGTCTATTAGTTTTCCTTTGACCTACTTTTCCTGAGTTGTCTTAATTATGTCATTCTGTTTACCTGTGTTCCATTAATTTAGTCATTAGTCCCTCATTTGCTTTTGTATTTATACTCTGTGCTTTGTTCAGTTCCTTTGCCAGTTATTTTTGTTATCCTTGTGTGTGTGCTACATTTGCTCCTGCTCTTCTCCTGTGTGTGTTCCTTGTGGATTTATTATTAAAGACTATTTTTGGATTAGGCCTTCAACATGCACTTTATATAGCACATGCACGCAGATAACGTTTACTATGGTTTTGGACACCACTACAAGTTGACTGTCCCTTCAAATAGTGTCCTATTTAAGGTTATGGGGGCTGTTTCGGACACAGGCTATGGGTTTGAGTCATTCGTTCAGCTAAAGCTATGCAGTCTGTGCCGGAAGCAGAACTGATTAATTCATCTCTCGAGTCTTTGGGTTTGATAAAGCTATGCAGTCTGTAATGGAAACAGAATTGATTAGTTCACCTCTCTAGTCTTCGGGTTTCATTCTTAGGTCATATGTCAGCTTCCTAGCTCAGTAACAAACGCAAACATTACATAATATTAACTGTAAGTTGTATTTGTAGGCATCTTTGCTTTATCAAAGTGATTTTTCCCCATCATACAGATAAAGTTTAAAGCATTAACCAACTCTTTATTTCCACATTAAATTATATGGGGAAAAAAACATCATGACAGAAATTCACAAATGTATAAATTGTAAGAAATAAAAAATCTACAATTTGAGACCAGAAACGCATCACATAACTACACACGTGTTTGTAAGAAAGTTTAGGAATTATTAACTAATTTCTGTATCCAGTATTGCTATCACATCACGTGACAAAAGAATGAATGACTCAGACCCGAAGACTAGGGAGGTGAATGAATCATTTCTTTATTCGGTACAGACTGCATATCCTGTAGTCTATGGGTCTGTCAAAAATGAGCGAATGACTCAAACCTGAACCCAAAGACTCGAGAGGTGAAATAATCATTTCTGTTTCCTGTACTAAATCAATACGATGTTGCGCATGTGCGGTCAACGCAAAATTAATGAATCCCTTGCTGAGACAACTCGATGTTCCCGAGTCATATTAGATTCATTCAAAGTTTCATTCAAATTGAACAAATCGTTCATGAACGACACATCACTACATACCATAGCAGACTAAACTGCATGGGTCTGCAGGGGCTCCAGAAATGAGTGCCAATGCATAAAAATACTATAACTATTGAATAACTATTCCCCATAGAGTAATGCAAAGAATGACAAAATAAATGTAAATACTTTGTTTAAATAAAATAAAATGAGGAATAAGAGTAATGGCAAACGGAAGCATTACACTACTTGAGTTACTTGATTGAATGACTATTCCCCATAGAGTAATGCAAAGAATGACAAAATAAATGTAAATACTTTGTTTAAATTAAATAAAATGAGGAATAAGAGCAATGGCAAACGGAAGCATTACACTACTTGAGTTACTTGATTGAATGAACAAAATCACTGCCATATATACAAAATGTCTGCCATATATAGGCTCATTTACGTTTCTATTTTATCTCTCTCTTTCTATCTATTGATCATCACTAGCAAAGCCTAGCAACTATATATTTTTCTTCATTTTGAAAAAAAAGTATCTACATTTCTAACACTATACTTTTATTACCTTTACTTCAAATTCAAATACGAGGGTATTTCTAATACAGCATCTATGCCATTATCACTCTCTCTATATTTTTTTCCTTTTTTTTTTTAAAGTCATGAAAACAATATTGTGGAGTTTTTCTTTTGCATATTTGAGCAAATGGGAATGCAAAAAATACATCTGTGGTAGTCTCCCATTCACTGCTCTAGAAGTTTACCCAACTATGATGACCTCTGCTGCTGAGAAACCCAGAAATGTGAAAAAGGTCCATTCTAAAACTAGGTGTTAAAACATGCTAGCAACATGTTAATAATGTTAGCAACTGCACAGCAACACCCTAGCAACCATCCTGAGTACCTTGGCAACTGCATAGCAAAAGACTTTTGTTTACTGACATGAAAGTGACCCTGTGTGTGTTTTTTATAGTGTGGATCATGGAGGAGAATCCAGGATTACAGCAGGACTAAAGAAATGTATGTCTACACACACACACACACACACACACACACACACACACAGAGCTTTACTGATTGTTGTTGTGTTCTAAATGTCTCTGTTCTTGTGTTCAGATGCCTGTTTTCTCACACTGGATCCAAACACAGCAAATACTCAACTCATTCTGTCTGAGGAGAAAAGAAAGGTGACATGTTTGGACAAGAAACAGTCATATCCTGATCATCCAGACAGATTTGATGTGTATCCGCAGGTGTTGTGTACAGAGAGTGTTTATGGACGCTGCTACTTGGAGATTGAGTGGAGTGGTGATGATGGTGTGTATATAGCAGTGTCATATAAGAGCATCAGCAGGAAGGGAGATGGTGATGAGCGTTGGTTTGGATGTAATGATCAGTCCTGGAGTTTGATCTGCTGTCCTGACAGATACTCATTCAGACACAATAAGATAGTGACTTGTCTCCCTGTGAAGCCCATCAGCAGTAGAATAGGAGTGTATGTGGATCAAAGTGCAGGAACTCTGTCCTTCTACAGCGTTTCTGACACAATGAGCCTCATCCACACAGTCCAGACCACATTCACTCAGCCGCTCTATCCTGGGTTTAAGGTTTATTATAAATCATCCGTGAAACTGTTTTGACGATTGACGAGAGATTCTACCCATAATGCTTTGAGCTGCATGATAAATCAGTAACAGTGAGATGTTAGGGTCTCTTCTTTTCTCTTAATTACATTAATACTGCAGCTGAACTTCTGTCAGTGAAAAAATAGAATAAATGAATAAAATGTATGTAATAAATCTTCATATAGACAGTAAGATCAGTGTGTTTGTGCATACGCAAACTGTGTGTGTTGCTTCAAGTGTGCAACCATACATTTGTGTTGTGCTTTCTTTCTTTTGTATTCATTTATTGATTTTTAATTATTTTTCATTTAATCATTTTATTATTCCATTTAATCATATGATCGTATATAATAATCATTTTAACCATTTATATACTCATTTCATTGATTAGTCATTTATATTATTGTTTTTTAATATTATTTTTCCATTGTTGTTTAGTCTTATGATGTGTGTTTCAAGAGCCATTTGTCTTTATGAGTAAGAGTGTCACAGCTGCCTGTTGGTGTGCCCATGTTAGCCACCAGAGGGCACTCTTTTAAACTATTGTTTGTTTGCATTGAACTCCAACTCCCATCACCCTTTGCCTGGTCTATCAACCCTCATTGCCTTCAGCTGTGGGTGATTACCCTTTTAGCTCACCTGTATATATACGATGCTGACTGAGTTTTGGGTTGTGGAAGAATTGCTCTGTGTCTTTGCTGGTCTCCGATTTGTTTCACCTTGTGTGATGTTGTTGCCTTTTTGTCTCATGTGGATTACGATTTTGGATTACTTTATTAAATGATGCATGTGGATTTTTCATAGAGTCTGTGAGTGTTTCCTGACAACGAGATAAGAGGGATTGTTTATGGGATGATTTTATGAAGCAGTAAGGAGGAGGGGGGGGCCGGGTGGCCTCAAATCCCTGCCCCTTTAATCGCAGACACAAAAGTGCCCTTTTGGTCTGGTCTATGTGCGTCCAGACGGACTGCGATTTCTACTGAGGAGGACCCCCCTTTTATCTTCTACTGATTCTTGAAAGGTCATTGTTATACATTTTATTCCAATTATCAGGCGTTTTTAGGCTAAAATTAACTTTATAAGTCAACATTTTTAATATTAGAAAAAAAACATTGATTCTTTATACATATATATATATATATATATATATATGGTTGTGTGTGTGTGTGTATATATATATATATATATATATATATATAT